CACAAATTACAGAGAATTACAGAGACTTATAGATATTATAGATATATTAAAAGATACATAGAGGATATTTGTTTAGTTCAGTGTAAGATCGGAATATATTTCACCGAGTGAACACCAAAAGATATATTTCACGAGTGGCGCAGCCACGAGTGAAATATGAACTTTTGGTGTTCACAAGGTGAAATATATTTCGATCTTACACTAAACTAAACAAATTTTCTTTTTATTACATGCAAAGAAACGTTTTAAAAAGACATTAAACCTAATACTGAATGAAAAGCGCGCCAAATAATAATACAACGTGACGTCATTTACGACGTCAAGTAATTAAGTTGGTACCCAGTACTGTGCACGCTGGTATTTCACTGAAACAACGCAAGGGGCTTAAATTCAAAACGGCGAAATTATCAAAGTGGTAATTTCACTGTTTCAAACAGTGAAATTACCAGTTTTATATCACTGATATATTTCTATAAACCACCGAAAAGCATGTAATAAATGTGCATAATTCTTTCACACTTTGTTATTATATACTCCTCCGAATGTAAATCATTTAATAAATAAGTCTTTCTAGTAATTGTGAACTACTGCATAGAGCGAACTGAATTGTAAGCAGCGAACATTACATGCATAAGTCAGCTGGTACAGACTGCCAAGGTAATACAATCTCAGTAAATTCTTAGAATTGTTCATAACAAAGATAAGTCTGGATATAGTAGCATAATTTGTCATTGAACAAACACAAAAACATATAAATGACTAAAATCACTGAGTTATTTTTAGTAATTTGCAGCACTAAATTTACAAGTCGTATTCATTACTGATGCTAGTGTTTTGGGCGACAGTTTGACAACAGATACAGACGACATACATACAAATTAAATTATGGTCAAATCATATTGTTTTCTTTCGAAATTATAGTATTGTCTATTTTGTTAAACAAGCTCAAACATGGATAATCCTAAATCGTCGCCCTAATTCCAGAGTGTCGTAACTCCAATTTTGCAAAAAATGAGTGTTTGGTATCAAAATGTTCGTAATTTTTTTCTCTATCTAATGGTAAGAACAACATCACTCTGGTTCTTGCCTGTAACAATATATTGAATGGGTCAGAGTGCTGTAAGTCCAAAAATTGTGATAGAAATACAGTCCATAATATCGTAACTTCTGAACCAATAGTTTGTTAAGATTCTAGTCACGTGATGCTGTTTTGACAAAATGGCAGATTTTTCAAGGTATCAGGAATGACATTTTACGTTTTATATTTCTTGATAACATGTAAGTGTTTTGCTTTAGATGTTATCTAATTATCTTTAGATTAATATTTTATTGAACTGTTTCAAACCCTAAAAAGAAATAGTAACTACTCTTAACCCTTGAGCTAAATTCAAAGCACCATGCTGTGTTATGAAATTCGGATAGCATGGAAATCGGATAAATTGATACAAACTTTCAATATTCACAAGTATCAGCTGTTAATAACTTGATATGTGATTGATTATATGATTGATTGATCAATGTTACCATTAAATACGGACAATCAGGTTTTGCATAAGATTGTTTATACTTTTAACATACAAACAAAACTCATCAAATAGAAACATACTACTGCCATTGTTACATTTTGTACAATGTTTTTCTTTAACTATATAAGACAAATTACCGTACTGGTGCTAAGTGATTCGAAAAAATTTACACATATAACTTTACCACTCATAACTAATGTTAAATTAGGTTAATCATGTTTATTTCATAGTTCATAATTTTCATAATTTCAAAATTCTGCACTTTCATATACTTTTCATATACTTTCATACGATCACAAAAATATCAAAAGTTTTGCTGTCCAAGGCATTATGCAATCCAGAGTGGTTAACAATACCCACTGTCATATAGAAAGAAAGACAAAACACTTTTAAATTGGCAGAGTGTTCAGTCCTACATCACTTGTTTGTGTCTTCCAAACATCAAATACTATATGGTGGGTTAAAGCTGACAATATCCCTATAACAAAAGTTTAAAAGCTGAGAGTTGTCTCAGATGCACCATTTAGCGTTGAATAAGAGACGTCATTTGCACAACATATACTTATTAAACAGAATGCCACCCTGTTGACCTACTCAGCTATTTTGCATAAATCAACAGGGTGTCAGTCTATACCTTTTTGTCAATATAATCATTTTCAATATTATGCTAAAATTTCTTATGTCATTGGAACATGCAAAGCAAAATTAATCTAAGTTTCTAAGTTAAAAATAATTCTTGTATATCCACTTCCGACTCGTAAGGTAATGCTACCTGTAATTATCAAGTGATTTGAACCTTTGAACTGAAAATTATCCATTACCAAAACTATATTTTAAAAAGAAAAAAAAATATGCTTAGTTAAAAATTGTCATTCGATTGAAACGTAGAAAAAATGATTTTGTGAAAAAATGTTACAAAGTCTTAAGACCATATAAAACATTAAGGAATCTTTAAATTGTCATATTTGTTTCATCAAACGTTTGTTGAAGTAAAATAGAATTTATATTTAACTGAAACTCTTAGATATTGAGCATTGCTTTTATACGAATTTTATACGAGTTATTGATGTAAACAGTTCAGTTAAAAAACATTAAAAGCAAACGTATACTTAATTGTTATTGTATGTAAAGAAGTTGTATGCCACTTGATATATAAATACATGTAGTAATTGAAGTACAGTAGTTCATTGAAACACCATATCCAGATCTGTAGCATCTTTGAAAATTTGTGAGCTTTGAGTTGTGCTTCATATTTTTCTCTTTTTTTTAAACAAAATATTAAGTAATTCTGTTCTTAGAAAAGTAAAATACATAGGTTTATTCTTTTTCATGTTACAGAGAAAGGAACTCATTGTTGATGTTGTTTTTCAAAGTTTAAGCAGTTACATCTTTCAAACATTTTTGTGTGTTTTGTAAGTCAAATTGTGTTCAACATGCTGTTTGTCTGAAAGTAACAGGTATTCAAAATTGAATTTGGAATGAATTAATGATATAATAAACGAAACCAAAAGTAAATCTGAATTCCAAATATTTTATAGTGTACAGTGTTAATGTGAAAATAGCATATCATAATTATGATAACAGTTTTGCTATTTAATGTGGTAAATATCAATACAATGACGATGTTTCTAAATTTTGATTTCGTTTTGTTTAACTCAATGTGATACATTTACAAAATCAGTAATATTTTATTTTTTTGTTCATTTGCAAGGCTCACTATTTCATGTGAATGGTCATAATATAATGAAGCCCGAGTTCAATTTCAACCTTAAAATGCCTGTTTGCGGCTATTCACACTTCACCGCATTGTCAGGATTTCTATTATTGACTTTTAAGACTAAATTTACTGTTTTGATCCTGATCACATTACATGCTCTATGGTGCCTAAATAAATGTGGATCCAGACTATTCGTTAAAGCATTCAATTTCTAGTTACGTCTAAATTTAATATAATTTCAGTATAAAACAGTAAAATAGTCATTATTTCACACTGTTGTAACTCCTAAATGTAATGATATTTTAGGGTCACATTGCTGTAACTTATTACAGCATTCTGGTTCTTGTATTTATGTCAATAAAATATATTTTTCAGTGATTTTTCATTTTTTTCATTTTGATTTTTTTAAAAACTATCTACATGAACTTCTTCGTAATTACAAGTGTAAAAGTTAAAATAATTCTGCACACTGAGATATATTTTATATTAAAATTGGTTGAGTAAGTGTGAAGATATAGCCTCTTAAAACTTTGAATGCGATTTTCTCAAAATGGTAAAAATACGACTTACATCATTATTGAATTAGGGCGACGTAATGGCGACAGTCTGAAATATAACATTTCCATTTGCTTCCTTCGTAACGTGTTGGTGCATTGTACTGACTGTGTTACCAATTTATTCTATGTATCAAAAAGTTCCCTTTTTCATTTCTGCACATAAGCTATAAAATAGCAAGTTACTAGTATTCTGCAACAGTGTGCAGCGACAGCGATTTCACAATTTGTGTGAGAATTTATGCATACAGTAGCAATTTTGTGCGCTCTGTATCAATGAGACATTGTTACAAAATTAAACACAGGTTGAACGATCTATTCAAAATATAGTACATTATAACGGCAATCTTGAAAAAAGCTATTCTCTTAAACTTAACATTAATATTTCATAATTAATATATCCTGAAAAGATTGAGAAAAAGTAAACAATTAGATTTCCGATTATCAAGATCAGAATCAAAATAAAAATACACACTCATAATAATTACATTGAAAATTGGTTTTACAACTCTGTAACATTTTTCATCAGCTGTTGTTCTGGTTTCTTGTAAGTATAATGTTTTAAAAATAATTTAAATTTCAAAATGGTTTCGAAATCTTTAGTTCATGTATTTGCATAATATTTCAATTCGAGCAGGACCTGTTAATCGAATACAAAACGTTTTACAAACACAACTATAAATTTCGATATAAGAAGATATCTTATGATACATGGAATAAAAACATTAATTTTGAATATCGGATTTGTTGAAGGTACACATATATATGCAAAAAATAGTGGAATAAACAACAAACATTGAGTGTTATACTTATAAAACGTATCAAAATACGGCACGTTTGCAATTGGATAATCATATAAAAACATCTATATCCACGGCTGAATTCGATTTAAAAACTTATTTCAATCTTTTACTCTAATAAAGGAGGTTGCAGTATTATAATTCTTTATAAAGACCCTTGACATATTATATAATCGTATATAAACTGTTTGTTGCAATAAAACCAAACTTATATCTTGGATTCTATATACAAACAATCGTTTATTTTTGGTCATTTAACCTGTCAAAAATCTTTATAACTAATGCAATATACGTCAATAAAATGAGGTAAAAGAAAGATTAAATACGTTACGGCACGTAACTATTGTTAGGATATGAAAGGAATAAAACGAATATTTACGCTATCATTCCGTTTTCGTCTTACCTTATATCCGTCAGAATATCCTCTATAACTCTTTTCACAGAATGTAAATTTTATGACACTCGACAGACTATTTTACGCAAAAAGTAAACAGATACTGGCATTAGGTTGAAACAAGCTATTTGTATGATTAAACCGAGTATTGGAAATCGTTAATTTCCAATATTGTCCTATACATTCGTCTGCATGAAGGATATGGCACACAGAAAATCTCAGTGCATGATTCATATAACTCTAACAGCGTACTTTGCGGCCAGATGTGTGTAATAATTTAACCTCAAGCTGCGTTATAGAGGTACATATGCATTTTCTAACATCAGGCAGACGACTGCACTTTGGGGTCATAAAATTATAGATATTTAAAAATGATATCTTACAGATAACGACAATTGTGATCTAAAATAAGAAATAAAGAAGTGAAATGTATTAAGTCGGTTAACAGTAACAGACGATTGATTATTTTAATTTGTATTTCAAAGGGTTGCAATTTGCAATTTACAATGCATTATAAATTTGTTTTATATTCAAGTATTTCTGTCATAGGATGCTTCTTCGGTTAAATATGTATGATGTTTATTGTGTGCAATAATTTAGATAACATATTTTAAAGTCCTACTCATGAACGTATGTGCAAATAATTGTAGAGATTGCATGTCACACATATTTCCATCAAATAAGAAACCAGTTCCTTATACGATAGGATCTGTTAATGAACCATTAAAAATATTGATTGATTATAACATAACATGATTGGTACCTAACAAAACATAATAATCATAAGGATTTACGAGATGGAAACCAAAATTTACTGTAATGCATATACTGATAAAGTTATCACGGTCTTAATCATGTAGAAGTTATACATTGTTTTAAAAACGACTGTTTTAAAATGTTAATACTTTAACGACATTGTATACATTTTCATTTGCGACATCATGTGGTCCAAATATATATGGGGAATATCGGAAATTGTGAAATGTCTTGAAATAAAGTGCAGCTGTAGCCAACAGGAAACTTTACTAGGATAATTTCTTTTTCTAACCTTAGTCATTTCAACAAAAAATGAAATGCACTAAAATGATATTAACTGCATTTAATTACGTCATATCTAAAATGGGGTTCAAAATTGCACCAAAAGTTATCTAGTAAATGGATGACATAACAGGATATTTTTCGAAAAATCTTTTATTTTTAGGAATGCATTAGTACTACAGTAGCTTGTTATAAGGACACAATTCTCCGGATATTTCAAGTCGTGAAATTGATAAAACATTTACTAGTAATAATACATTTATAATTCAAGGTACAATTATTGTGGCAGGGAGAGTCCATTTTAAAGTCGCGAGTAATTTCCCCACAAGTTAATAAAATGTCGCGGGCAACTTTAAAATCCGAGAAAATTAAATTCAAAATTGTAAAAATTGTCGCGGTTGAATCTATCAACATTTTCGACACATCCGTCCTTAAAAGTCAAATTTTAAGAAGAACATAAAAGAACGTTTATATAACCTAAGTGGATGCAAGGTTATCTTTTTTCTTTTAACATTTGTTCGAATTTCACTGATAGTTTCTTATTTTAAAGTAAAAAAATGAAAATAATTTTTACCAGAAAGGACTGCTTTCATTTAATTTCATATACTAAACTTCCACTTTTTGATATATAAAAAATAGAAAGATTTTTAAAAAGACGCATAACGTTTGGCGACAACGACACAATTGTTGCCTATTTTCTTTGTCTTTTTTTTGTCACAAAACTTTCTCAATAGTTTAAGGTCTTATATTGATTACCTGAGTGGTGAAAAAAGTATATTGTGTATGCTTTTTCTAAAAAAAATGTTGTTTTTTTTCGTTTCTTTGTTGTTCTTTGCTGTTCCCTTTTATCACAAAACTTTCACAATAGTTTAAGGTCTTATATTTATTCTCTGGGTGATGATAAAAGGTATATTGTGTATGCTCTTTGTCAAATAAAACCCAGTGAGGCAAAAGTAAGTTAAATCAGAGCATTTAGATTATTAATAACGTAATTAGGGTGAGTCGCTTAAAATCGTTTTGAAGACATGTTACCAATAGCAACGAAGATACATGTACAAATTTCACAGAATTTTACTATTTTTACAGGGTAACCTTTTAAATGTTTATACAGTGGAGTTTATACAGGTGGTCTTTACTAGGTTGAGAATGACGTTTGACGACAACAACACAGCTGTCGTCTGCTGTTTTTTATATATTTTTCTTTGTAGGGAATTATCACTAAGTCGGAAAAAAAACAAGTCGTTGTAGCTGCTGTTTCAACTTTAACATCTTGATGATTACTATATATCCTTTTGTGTCCATAAAAACTTAAATATGTTAATATAAAAGTGACAATTAATTGTAGAAAATGATGAAAAATATTATTTATACATCGACTTAAGCCAGGAATTTAGTAGTACCAACTAGTACTAAGTAATGAATGCAAAGTTTCTTGTTCAAGGACACTACGACTTGCCCCTCACAGGGTTTGAACCAATACGGTCAGCAATCCGACGCGTTAACTTCTCGTCCACGGCTCCACATCTTTTTCTATTTGGCACAGTTTGTAAGACTGGACATATTAGAGCTACTTTGATTTGCTCCTGCAAAATGCTCACCTATACAGCTATAATTAATTTGTTTTTTTCTCACATATTTTAACTGTTAGAATTTTCCCTATTTCCTAGGCATTTTTAACTGCACTGCTGCAATTCATTTCTTTCCCTAAACAAATTAAAGTGCAATGCCTTAATTAGTGTTATTTACCAAAAAATAGTAAACTGTACTGCCATGATTTTTAGCTTACCCCAAATATGTTTTACTGGTCTTATCCAATCATATTGAACTGTACACTATATGTACTGTACTGCAATAACTAATTGTTTTCCCGAACATTTTCAACGGTTATAATTGATTACCTTTGCCAAACATGTTAAACTGTAATGCCATAGTTCATTCTGTTTTATTTCCCAAACTTTTTTCCAGGTTATAATTTCTTGTCTTTTAAAAGCTTGTTAAGCTGTACTGCCATATCTAATTGTTCTCTTGCGAACATTTTAAACTGTTATAATTTCTGGCTATTCCCAAACACTCTAAACTAATTATTTATTTACCCCAAAACACTTTAACTGTTTTAATTCATGTCTTGTCTTTCTCAAACAAGTTAAACAATTCTGCGATAATTTATTGCTTTTCCCTTATCACTTCAACTGTAATAATTTCTTTAATTATATACTATAAATACGGAGAAATATTGATGAAATAAAATGCGTACTTTCATTTTCCATATTTTCACTGTTTTCAAGTTCAAGTTGTTCTTCACTGCAGTAAGGAAAGATATGTTCCGTATTTTCAAAGGTGTATTTTTTTTTACTTTCTTTTAAATTCAGCGAATACGCAACATCTAAGTGACATTCTTTCAAGTTTTTTTCTATAAATTCAGGATTCATTATTATATTTTATTTATTTCGTCATATGAAAATTTTCATATTTCAATGTGGCTACCGCAACTCATGAAATATTCATTTTCATACCATTCAATAAAAATAATTCCTGTTTTATAGAAAAAAAAACTTGAAAATCCTCTATGTCTTCCCCCACATATTTTAAACTTTTTATTAGTTTTATTAATATTAAACTAGCCTTAAGACTGCACGCTTGTAACAGAAATTAAATTTAAATAAATTTAAATTTTATGACTCGTAATTTGTCTTACACATACTTTTCTAAGTACGCGCATGTTTCCATGGAGCACTGTTAACAAACAAACAAAATAAACAGATACTGAAACATTATACCGAGCGTTATTTCCTATGCAACTTTATGTAAACGGAACTTTACAAAAATATATGTTAATACAAATTGGCCCACCTCATTTACATGAACTTGTAAAGAAAATAAATTTCAATTATTTTTTGCATATAAATACTTTTAAATGATATTGAATGACAAGCAATGTAAAGATTATGTTTCTAAGGGGAAAAAATTGTAGCATTTCTGTATAAAAATGACCGGTTGTGACATTTCAACTTCATGAAGTTTAAATCGTGAATTCGTGATGCTGAAAAAGTTGAATCGTGAATTTTAGAAGTTGAAATCACGAATTCACAAAGATGTCCCAATCGGACTTTTGTACCTGCCATTTCTGTTCTCTGCGAAACACACAGACGAATCGGCATTTCAAACTCTTTTTATAAGTTATGCATAGATAAATCAATTTAATCCATCAAACTACTTTATTTACTTTGGCTTGATTAAATATTCAAAGGTTGTTGTGATACTGGTATATCATATATTATATTATTATATATTATATATCATAATTGATATATCCCGAAAATGTTGAAAAAAAGAGTAAACAATTAGATTTTGGATTATCAACATCAGAATCAAAATAAAAGTACACACTCATTATAAATACATTGAAATTGGTTTTGCTACTATATAACATTTTGTATCGGCTGTTGTTCTGGTTTCTTGTAAGTATTATATTTTAAAAATAATTTGAACTTACAACTGGTTTCCAGAAATTCAGTTCATGTGTTTGCATAAGTTCAATTCGAGCCGGACCTGTAGATCTTACCCAGGTACAAAACTATTTACAAACACAACTTTATAGATTTCGATATAATAAGAAAATATAATATGATACATGGAGTGACAAACAATTATTTAAAATATTGGCTTTGTTAAAAGGTACACATATATATGCAATAATATTTGGTGAAAAACAACAACCTCTGAGTGTTACACTTATGAAAAGTATCATAATACTGCACGTTTGTAATTGGACAATCATAGAGTTAATATAAAAAATATCTATATTCACGGCTGCATTCGATTTATGAACTTATTTCAATGTTTTACTCTAATAAAGGAGGTTTGTAGAACTATAATATGTAATAAAGATCCTTGACATATTATATGATCGTATATAAACGGTTAGTTAAATTAAACCTCAATTTACGTCTTAGGTTCTATATACAAACAATCGTTTATTTTTGTCAAAAATCTTTATAACTAATGCAATATACGTCACTAAAATAAGGAAAATGAAAGTAAATACGTTACGCAATTGTTAGGATATGAAAGGAATAAACCGAATATTTACGATATCATTCCGTTTTCGTCTTACCTTTTATCCGGCAGAATCCCTAACAATATAAAACTAACCCTAAGAC